TCCAATTGCTCCAAGTTTTGGATATGTGTTAGTCGACATCTTAATGAACAAATTTCATGAAGGATATTTATTCATTTGAGCATGGGAGAATTCGGTTTTCAGGCCTGCAAATGGACTGTACAGCATGAGCTGTAAAAGGCAAAGTCATCAAATCCAACTTGAGTTCTTCTCTCTTTTTGCAACACATTGCCTATTTCTCCTCCTTCTCATGCCATTGGTGGAAGACAATTAATATCTACAAACAACCACTCATTAAATACAAAAACAAAGATTGGAAATCACCAATACAAATACTCTAATAGATTTACATAATACAAAAGAAAATACTAACAAATATAAATTTAAGGATAAAACTTGTATTAATTTTGTGCTCATCAACAGCAACGTAGGAGGAGGATGAAAGATCAACAGAGGAGCCATTTTGTCAAAGATCCTTTTTTTCATCCTTAGATGTGATGATGTTGAACTTTTGCAACTTGTTTTTGAATTAGGATAAACTCTTTTTGAATGGTTTGCATTATACATTCTGCAATTAGTTACTTTTGTAAGACTTTAATGGTTTGATTATCGTTGCAATTAGGTTGTTGGTTTGTGGGATTATTGATGTCTGTGATGGTTGGTTTTATTAGGCTTTCATGTCTATCAAGGTTTTTGAGTCAAGTACTTAGATGTAATTGACCATTTGATATGTAATGTGATGGTTGGAACCTGTTTTGCTGTTGTGCTTATATTGATCAGGTATTGAGATGTAACCATTTGATATGGCATGAACAAGATATGCTTATGAGTAACTTGTTTTTGTAACCTGTTTTTGGTATCCAATGAACAAGATATGCTTATGAGTAACCTGTTTTTGGTTTGATGCTTATCAGTATGTCACCATTTGTAACCTCTAAACAAGTTTACATTCATATCACAGATCAAAGAACTAATGATGCAAACTCTAAACAAATAGAAATGAACTAATGCTTACTGATAAAACTCAAAACAAATTACATTGTTTTCCCACCAAATTACATTACATTACACCAACTAAACTACTGCTACATTACATTAGCATTTGTTCTCAAATTACATTGCCCACTGAACTACTGCTTCTCCATCACATTACACCCACCAAATTACCAAACATATTACTCTTAATTCCTCCTAATTCCTCCTAATTCATCTTCATGGCAAACACCACCAACCAGGAAAGCAACATAGCAGCCCACAATATTTTTGACTTTGCTCGAATCTTTACATTTTCCTTCTCCACCCTATCAATCTTCCTCAGCAAACCAGGTATCAAAGACTTTGAATGCTCACACATTTCTGCATCAAACCACTGAAAAAGCTACATCCTTTTTCACCACTTCCCTGTATCAACCAAGAACAATGACTGAAACCCTAAACCATTTGATCAATGACTGAAAATTTCATCAATAACAACTCTATCAATTTGTGATGCCCAAAACAATGACTGAAAATTTGATCTTAAACATTCTTACCTTTGACTTTGGCCAGACTAGAAATCTCCATCCTGGGTTTGAAGGGGTCCACAAAGTCTTCATCGGTGCTAACTTCCCACAATGACACCATTGGGCATGCCTTGCTTCTCCTCTTTCCATCTCGTCTTCAATTCAGTCAGTATTCACACAGAGAAGAACCAGCTGAACCTCCAAATCTAAAATCCCCCTTCCCCCTTTTCTCCCAAATCTTGCTACCCCTTCCCCCTTTCCCAAATCCGAACTCCACTCAGAAATTCATAAACCCTAATATTCTACTCAAGAATCTCCCAATTTCGAACTCCACCTCAGAGTTTTATGAACCCGTGATTTCTTCTCCAGATTCTCCAAAATTCGAACCCCACCTCAAATTTTGCAAAAGCCCAAGCCTTCTTCTCTAAATCTCCCCTTCTCACCCAAATACCCTTTTCCCCCTTTTCTGAAACTCGAAAACCTTTTTTCTCCAATGTTAAGCGACTAAAACGAAGTGGGGCCCAACGCTCATAACGGAACGTCTATAATATTGACGGAACGGGTAACTTGAGACTGTTTTTAAAAGTATGGGGGGTATTTTGAGACGTTTCGAAACACGGGTGGTAATCTGAGACAAGTTTGAAATCACAGGGGGCATGTACATAAATAAGCCATATATTATTAAAAGTATTTTTTTTTTAATTTAATTTAATATGGGTATAATTAAAAAATTAAACAAACTTTGTTTTACATCCCAATCATTGTAAAATGAGTGCAAAACAGCAAAACCAAAAGTCTTTCTCTCTCCTTTCAAAACAAAAAAATAAAGTCCGCTCTCTTCTATCAAAACCAATATAAACTCCACAAAATAAATAAATTCTCGCGCCATTCAGACCAAAAACCAAACCATTTCGTGGTCGGTAGGACTAGGAGGAAAAAAAAAAAAGGCTCATGATATATCATACGGCCAAAAACTAAACGAAACGGAGGAATTTCTTATCGAAGTTTAGAACTTTAGAGAAAGTAAGTGTTTGTCGAATTCATGGTAACACAGACTTGAGCTTTCTCAAGGAAACCAGTTGGAGCGATGCTGAAGATAATCAAATCTACAACTGCTGCTGCGGCTTCTTCTTCTTCTTGCTGGAGCTGGAGAGGTATGCCTTGTCTTCACTCTAACTCCACTCTTGTTGTTTTCCTCAACAATTACTTTGCTTTCTTTCATTCTCAACCTTCTAAACCAATCAAATCTAGAAGCACCCAACTCAAGCAGCTAGTGAGAGACTTACCCAATATCACTAATCTTGGGGATGCTTTCAATGTGTTCGATAGAATGCTTCAAATGCGTCCTCTGCCTTCTGTTGCCCCTTTCAATCAAATCTTGATTCAACTTGCGAAATTGAAACATTATTCGGCCGTCATATCTTTGTACAACCAAATGGGTATGTCGGGAATTGAACCTGATGGTTATACTCTAAACATTCTCATTAATTGCCATTGCCATTTGAACCAAATGGGGTTTAGTTTATCTGTCTTGGGAAATTTCTTCAAACTTGGTCTTAAACCAAAAGTCTCTACCTTCACCACTCTAATCAACGGCTTTCTTCTCAAGAATAGTGTGGCGGAGGCGGCAGGAATTTTCAACAAAATGATTGTGGGAGGTAATTGTCAGCCTGATGTGGTTACTTATGGCACACTAGTAAAGGGCTTTTGCATGAAAGGTAACAACAGTGCTGCTATTCAGTTGCTTAGGAAGATGGAGGAAGGAGCTTGCAAGCCTGGCCTAGTTGTCTATAGCACAATCATCGACAGTCTTTGTAAGGATGCACTAGTTGATGATGCATTCAACCTCTTCTCAGAAATGATGTGCAATGGTATTGCCCCGAATGTCATTACCTATACATCCTTGATTCATGGAGTTTGCAAATTAGGCGAGTGGAAAGAAGCTACAAGGTTGTTGAATGAAATGGTTAGTAAAAATATCTATCCAAATATGCACACATTCAGTGTCTTGGTAGACACACTTTGTAAGGAGGGGATGGTCGTGGAAGCAGAAGGTGTGGTTGAAATAATGATTCAAAGAGATATTGAACCTAATACGGTTACGTACAATTCACTAATGGATGGTTACTGTTAGCGAGGAAGAATGGACAAAGCGTCTTAAAAAAAATTGTATCTTTGTGAATTTTAAAGTTCATTCGAAATAGATATCAATTAAATAATCACATATGCACACAATGGAAACCTTACTTAAATGAACACTGCATTCAAATTCAAGTTCAAAGATGAGAAGAACTAAAGATTGGTCAAAGAATCACATATACACACAATGGTTAAACTACGTCATTCGATGGAGAGATTATAGAATACTACGACAGTACAATCAAGTGATACATTTTGTACACATATTATAATATAAGTAGATATTTATAAATATTATTCCCTAAAATGAGGAAAAATAAACCCTATCGTCCACCTATATTATAACACGTGTACAAAATGTACCACCTTTTTAGTTATAACATATTGATAAACGGATTTTGTAAGCATAAGATGATGGATGAGGCCATGATGCTTCTTGGGGAAATGTCTCATAAAGGGCTTGTTCCAGATACCGTTACTTATAATACTGTTGTGGACGGTTGTTGCAAAATGGGCAAAATACGTGATGCACAACAGCTGTTCTCTAAGATGCAAGCTTGTGGCCAACTTCCAAATGTTCAAACTTATGCTATTCTACTGGATGGCCTGTGTAAAAACCGACAACTTTCTACAGCAATCCAATTGTTTAGAGAGATGGAAGGCAAGAAGTTGGATGTAAATATTGTGATTTACACTATTCTTATCGAGGGTTTGTGCATAGCTGGGAAAATTGAATCTGCAAGGGTTCTCTTTCGTGGGTTACCATCAAAAGGACTTCAACCAAATGTGAGGACATATAACATCATGATTAGTGGACTCTGTATTGGGGGCCTGACAAGTGATGCAGAAAAGCTGCTAACCGAAATGGAAGAGAAAGGTTGTGCTCCAGATGGTTGGACCTATAACATAATTATTCGAGGGTTCATCAATAACAATGAGACAGTAAGGTCGATGGGACTTATTCAACAAATGGTGGAAAGGGGTTTCTCTGCAGATGCATCAACTACAGAATTGATAGTTGATTTATTGTGTAAAGATAAAGTGGATCCAGCATTGTTGCCATTGATAAAAAGAGAATTATGAAGGTAACTTGCCTCTTCAAAACTTGAAACACATCTTCTTCGGACTATCACATTAAACATTGAAACTGCCAGATGATTTCACTGAACTTTTGGTCTGAATGATTGTTGATGAGGAACCTTGTCTGATATGACCTTTGGACCTGATTAACTTTTAAGCATAAGCATAGATACAACAAAACCTCATTAAAACTAACAAGTCTTGATTATATTCTTATAGTCCTGTGTTACTTGCAGAAAGTTTACTTGCATGATTATCACCCTGACCTTAGCTCTCTTATAATAACTTGTTCAGTTCCAAATTTTAGCTGGGTTGTTGCGTTCAAGGAATTTGCACACCCTGCAATGGAGCTTTTCTCTGCATTGGATACAGTAGGACCAACCTTATTTCTTGCAACTGCCATGTTTGGTTTTGTGTTTCAAATGACTTCTTTAATCACAGAGAAAGAACTAAAGCTTCAACAGGTGATGGCTTTAAGCAGCTTTAAGTTAATGCATAACACTGTTCAGTTAAATGGCTTTAACTATTACTAGCCTCGCTGTTATTTTGCAGAATCAATTAATTATCTAGTGTTTTATTTGTTTCGCCAAGCAGGCAATGACAATGATGGGTCTTTATGATTCTGCATACTGGTTCTCATGGCTCACATGGGAGGGAATCATAACACTTCTCTCATCACTTTTCATCGTTCTCTTCAGAATGATGTTTCAGTTTGATTTTTTCCTTAAGAACAATTTTCTGGTCTTGTTCCTTGTCTTCTTTCTTTTCCAACTCAATATGGTAAGACTTTTTCTTGCAAATTTGCAATTACTTGTTTTAATTCATTCTGATTTATGTTTTTCAACAAGCCTCTTGGTTTTATCATAAGTTCATAACCTCTGATCCTTCCTCCCTAACATTTCATGCCAGCTTGGTTTTGCCTTTATGTTGTCAGCCTTCATAAGCAAGTCATCTCCATCCACAACTGTGGGTTTCTCCATATTTATTGTTGGTTTTATGACCCAGGCAAGATTCCTCAGTTCAAGATTTATATATTAGGGATTGTTGGTTCAATGGTGCTAACAGAATCCATTTTGTCATTGCAGCTTGTTACAGCATTTGGATTTCCCTATTCTGATAGCATCTCCAGAACCTATCGAATCCTCTGGTCATTATTCCCACCTAATCTTCTTGCCAAAGCTCTGCAGATACTCGCTGGTGTAACATCCAATCCTCTAGATATTGGGGTTAACTGGAGTAGAAGAACAAAAGTGTGCACTAATGATGATGACTGTGCTATAACAATTGTATGTAAACACATTGATCCTCAAACTCAAAACATTTATGATAGGTTATTAGTCCTTTGGACACCAAAACCAAAAAAAAGTTTTATATATATGCCCAGTTCCACAATACATATTACAACCATTCGGAGACCAAATAATACACAAGGTCCAACAAATACTGGAGAGGCTAGAATGAGGAGGATGAGTGAGGAGGTTATTTGAGGAGGTGAAATCTCACCATCAACAACTAAAAACAAAGTACATGGGGGGGTGCATTGGGGGGTCCACACCCCTTTTGATGGTGAGATAGGCCTCCTCAAATAGCCTCCTCACTATAAACCCTCATTATAGAAGCTCCCCAACAAATACACAGCAAAATAAACGGGCAAAAAAAAAAACAAGAGAATCAACAGCCCAAGACAGAGAGGGATGCCCAAGCACGCAGAATTGTGCCAAATTAATTTTAACATATATGGGTCTTGCCTGGCCTCAACAAAATAGTCTCCCTCCCCAATGGATGAGGCAACAAGCAAGGCAATATCGCCCTCATGGGTTTGGCAAGGTTATATTTCTTTATATATATATA